CCTACCTTGAACACAGCGACCCCCCCATACACACCCCGGGTTCCTACCTTGATGAACACGGCCAGGCTGTGGTTGGCATTCTTGGATGCCTCTGGGTTGTCTCGGAATTTCTGTGTGATGTGTGGGGTCAGCATGTTGACCACAGTCTCCACAGCGTGATGGTAGGAGGCTGGGAACCTCTGGTTCCGCAGTAGCTGAGTGGATTCAGAGTAAGCACTTTTACAGTGTGATGCTTAGGTGTGCGGCCACCTCAGCTCCGACTCCACAGAAACAGACAGATAAAAAGCCAGAGTTCTAACTTGTATGCAATTGAGTATCCTGAGTTACAGTCCCCATAATGCAGCCTGGCACGTTTCCACACATTATCTTATCCATGCTCTTGGAAATGGAAAGCTCTATGAAAAAACTTTAACCCAATTAAAAAAATCAAATTACAGCACAGTGTCCGAATTCCTACTACAACTGTGCTCACCTGTGTCAACTCTCCAGGCCTGCCCTGATGTGACAAGGAGATGTGCATAACTCTGATCCAAGAGCTGCGGCAGGAGAGGAGCCGCAGCCCGCGCTCCCTCTGACATCCGAGAGGGCGCCAGGCCAAGCATTTCCCAGACAATTTCCATATCCCTTATTTAAAGCCTGAAGAGCAAGTTCACTGTGTGCGCAGGCAGCACGTGTGCGGAAGTCACTGAGTGATTCTTAGTTTTCCTCTGCGCCCACCGCGTGGGGCCCAGGGGTTGAACCTCGGGCTTGGTGGTAAAAGCCTCTGCACACTGGGCTGCCCTGCTGGTCCTCCTCAGGGCAACACTGGCTTGGCCGAAGCCCCAAGTATCCAAACTACCCCCCACCCCCCGATGATGCGCACAGCCGGCCTGACGGGCACAGTGGCCTTGTGCGCACACCACCACACAAGCCACTTTCTTTTCACCAACCTAAACCGGAGAAAGTGCCAAGGAATCAGCTGCACTTCCTGCCACTCGTGTCAGGCACCTGCTCCTGGTCCTTTCCATTCAGGCCGAGCATGTTCTTCACGACTTAGTCTCCGTGTTACAGGGAGGTAAACGCATGCTTAGGCACACAACTTAAAATTATTCACACCCAGATCCACCAGGCCTCAAAAGTCTTCTGCCAGGAGAGAGAGCACGCTGCTCCTTCCTGATTCCACACACGGCTATTTACAGAGGGGAGGCGTTCTTCCACGAGGACGGAGCACCCCAGTTTACAGACAAGAAAGCTGACGCTGAGCAGCTCACAGAGTCCTAATCACCCTCCCAGTGCCCTCCTTCTGCTCTGGGGAGCAGCCCCTCTGATGCGCAGGGGCAGTGGCCACCAGCTAGACTCCGACTGACCGTCTGTCACAGGTGACAGCTCTGGCACAGGGCTGGAAAAGCGACAGGCCCCGCTCATGAAAGAAGCAGGCTGCCTTCACGGTCTCTTTTCCTGTGTCTGGATGCGCTGTGAGGACACGCTGGCTCCTCCACTGTGGAGCAGAGTAACAGCCCGGGCTGGGTACCCAGAGGGGAGGAGGGGCCCTGGAGGGGACAACGCTGTCCTCTCTAAACCACCTCCCAGCCCATGATTTTCCAAACCAGAAAGTCAGGTCTGTCACAGCTGAACCACTGCTCTGCACCTGCTGTAGGACCACCAGGGCACCACCCAGCAGGCTGAACTTGGGGACTGAAGCCAGGATCCACATTTTTCTGACACGAAACTGTGCGGAACTTTATGTACTAAATGCCAGAACCTATTAAAAAAACTGAAGTACTTGCTTTTTAGTCACTGCAATTCTTAAACCAGCAGCAAGAATAATTTCCTAAATACATACAGACCCAAGAGCCCAGTGAAGTAGGATGGAGTCACAAGAATACGAGTGTAACCAACTCTCAGTAACAGAAGAGCTTGCTTGGAAAAGTTAAAAGGCTTTTGTTCACTGTGCACAACAATCACTCTGTCCTGGGATGGCAGGGCTAAGAGAGGGTCAGCTTCCAGACCCCCACAAAAGCCAGCTGGCCCTCAGGCACGTGTGCCCACCTCCTACGAGGGGATCCTGGACACGAGGGATCCTAGGCAATGCTGAGAGCCTTCAGAGCGGGGCCGACACAACAGCCACAAGAGCAGGAAAAACGGATCAAAAGTCTACTGCTGACTGAGAGGACCAGACACCCGACCAATCCATGTTGTCACTCAAAGCAGGATCATCGCACATACATGCTCCTGATGGCAGGACTAGCTACGAAGCATCCCTGCCAGAAAGTCTATTAAACCAAGTGTGGAAATTTGAACTGCAAGTGTGTGGGTAATGAAGAGAAAAGAGCCACATTATAAAACACTGCAGGTCACAGCTGGCCAATCCTAGAATTCAGGAAATCCTGCCAGACAAATACCACAGGGCTTTTTAAAGCGCACACACTGCACTGAAAACAAGCAAACAGACAGAGCAGTTTGAGAATAAAAACAAAACAAAAACAACAGAAAACAAATCTGAGACATCCACTACATGCAGTTCACAAACTGCTTTCACTCGGACTTGGGGACTTGGGCGTGCCAGCTGTAAAATGATGTTTTGGGGATGGGGGGGCGGGGGGGAGGCCGAGTGTGGCGGAGGTGTCAGACGGTAAGGCGGCTTCCCTTCCCCACTAGAGAGGACACAGGGAGTGGAGGGAGGAGCAGAGCAAGATGGCAGAACTGTGAAAGTGCTCCAGCTGAGCTGTGGTGACGTGAAGGCGCCCTGCCCCCTCTACTCTGAGTTTCTAGAAGGGGCTGATTTGTGATGGACGATTTCCATGTCAACCGGCCGGCAAGGCTGTTGACAACTGGGCCACACACCGTTAACACTGTGCCTGACAGTCACTGGGGCCCCTGGAGGCCAGGGACAGCCTCCTGGGAGACAAACAGCTGCAGTAAGGAATTCTACTCTGACAATAAAGCAAACAGGCCTTTTTTTATGCACTCAGACACACATTTGGAGGCAATGAAAGTTAATGAAAACCTTGATAATTAGATGCTTTTATGGAGTTCACTATGAACTGAACTGAAAGGAAAAAGTAAACTCTAGGATAGTGGGCTGGGGTGTAGAGTGGGACCAGAGCAGCTGAGGAGTCACGGCCTCTCAGGTGAGCCGCAGCCTGGCATAAGTTCTCACGTCTCTCTTCTGCAGTGTGCCACTGGCCCCGGTACTGCCACTTGCTGCCCTGTGGATGCCGCCGCTAAGGAAGGGTCTCCTTGTCCAGTACCTGTAGTCACAGGGCCCTCCAGCCCGTCTACCATGCACTTTGTCCATGCCCTGCTGAGTGTGGAACTCTGTGCCACCCTGAATGGGCCTCCACCTGAAGCCCCGGACCCAGCCTTGCTGCCTCAGCCCTGTGGGCACTGCTAAAACCAGGGTTTTACAGTGCCAGAGCTCCCAGAACTGGAATTACAGTTGTGAGCCACCACGTGGGTGCTGCACCCTGGCCCCCAGCATGAGCTACAAGCACTCTTGACCACTGGAACCTCCCCTCCAGCCCCAGACTTCACTTTCTGGGTCTCTTTCTGCTTTGTAGCCCAAGTAAGACTTGAACTCACGACCCCCAGGGCTGGGTGACAGGCAGGCATGCACCACACTGATTAAATTCAGGCTGTCTAAGCGCAAAGCCTGGCAAGTTCTGACATCTGACCGGGACTGCACACCCCCGCAATCAAGTAGCCAGCCCTCGTCTCTCAGACCCATTCCTGCACGCTCAGACCCGGCTATGGCCGTCCTGCTCTATCCTTGCAAGTCGTCTTGTCCTACAATGTTGTAAATATAATGGACTCATCCATGCAGTCTTCTGGGTCTGGAGTTCTCCTTCCACACTCCTGAGAGCTGCCCACAGTTTTGCAAAGGTGTTTTCGCCTCGCTCTCATGCAGTGGTATTCCATGAGGCCGAGCTACCAGCAACTTATCCACCTCCTGCCCGATGGGCTTTGGGTTGTTTCCAGGTGTTGGCCACGGTAGTAAGCTGGTGTGCATATTCCTGCGCAGTTCTGTGTGGACACACGTCCCCCTCCCTCCCCTTTCAGCAAACCCTGGTGTGCATATTCCTGCGCAGTTCTGTGTGGACACACGCCTCCCTCCCCCCCCCTTTCAGCAAACCCTGGGCAGGCAATGGCTGGGTTTTCACACTGCTGGGTGAGGCCTGCCACCTCTGAGAGCCTCCTCTCTGCCCTCCCTCCAGCCCAGGTGAAGCACCTCCACCTCACAAGTGGCTCGTGGCTCGCACGCACGCACACCTTCCTGCCCCTGCTCTCACCATCCCGTCCGTGGCGGCCTCAAGGTGGAGGACGGGCCTTCAGGCCTTCTGTGTCTCACACACCTAACATCCACACACCTAACAACCACCCAAACACCTGAGGGGGCAGCATGTGACACGCTCAGCCTGTCATACGAGTGTGCGGATTGGAGCAGGCCAGACAATCTTACCCTTCAGCCTGCGTTTACTGCGCTTTTGAAGTCAAAATGCTTTGCTCGAAGGCTAAGAAACAGCGCTTAGGACACACGCCCTCCCTCTGTGGGTTTGCTCCTTTCTTGAGGACAGTCACCATGGGATGCTGGCACTTGGCCTGCCTCATCGTGGGAGGAAGGGAGTGGAAAGCAAGGGTGACAGGATTACAGTTACCAAAGTGACAGAAAGAAGCTCCCAAAAACGTGGCCCACAAATGCAGAGCCAGGGGAGAGCATCCAGCAGGCCCGCTGCCACGTGCTTCCCGCCATCACGGACTCCACCTTTGCGGAGGGAGCCACTGCTGTGAGCAGAGCACACACCTTCACCTCAGGGACACGAACCCCATCGACGCTCTGACCTACAGCTCCCAGATCCAAACCCTGAGAAAACAAGTGTCAAGTGTCTAATCTAGTGGTAGTGGTGGCGAACAGAAAATCAAAACAGGAGCTAACCCTGCTGAGTCTGCGACACATTTGACTAAAGAACAACAGGCCAGGTGGCATGTATGTAAGAGTGCACACAGGCCGCTCCACCCCTCCTTGGCAGGCCGATGGCCTGATGCAGAGGGGGCACTTCCCCGTGTGGGGCGGACGCCACCCTCCCTGCAGCTGGCTCTCCCTATGGACGGAAAACCAGAATCTTTAAGTTGGACTGAGAAAGGAAAAATAAACCACAAACAAGGAGACTGACTGGCCAGGACCAGCCTGCTCACTGGCAAAGAATGGCTTCAGGCTCTGCAGCACCAGCCCTCTGCTCCACAAGCCCCTCGGCCCCTGCCCGGGCTGCTGCTGTGACGGCCCCTCCCAGGGCTTCTCTTCCTCACCAGGGGAATCACATGAAGGACACGTGTCGTCCCACACCCTCCTGCTTGCCACCAACCTCACACTTCAGCAACACGGCCACAATTCACCGTCACACACACTGCTCCCAACTCCTGCCTCAGAGGCAGCTCTTCCAGTCATCAGAGGGGCAGAGAGGGACACTGTCAGTGTGTGCCCTACATAGGACTTCATAAAAACTGCCCCATCCTGACAGGAACCACCAGTCCAGAGACCGACTATCTAGGCATGATCCTCAGGAGAACAGTGACAGAATTTAACAGTGGGAAGTAGGGGACAGCGCCCCAGAAACACACACCCAGGAACCACAGAAACCATCTTGAACAGAACCATCTTGAACCATGGTTAAGAAACTTAACCAACCAGATGGTGGCATTTTATGTCAGTGCTTAAGCGACTGGTCCAAGTTCAGAAAAGCTGGAGGATTTCTAAGCTGGTCGAGAAGGCACTTTCTTTGGCTTTAACAACATAGTGAGTAGTCAGGAACACAGCCTCGGAGCTGGACATGCTGCTCCTCATTAACGCAAACATTACAGCCTCAGTTCCCTTCTGTAAAAATGCAGGCCCTCACAGGACTGCTGTGAAGCTGAACTATGCTACCAACCGTGTAACACGAAAAACAAGACCCCAGTGCAAAGGAAACACAAACAGGAGTGAACTATCAACCCAGTGAAAGACACTGATTTCCCCAGGACAAACAAGCCCCAGTGCAGAGACCTACCTTCACTTTGTTATTTTCTATCAGATGCTGAGCCATGGACTTTATCAGCACATCAAAGAAAAACCAGGAGTACTAAAAGAAAACAAAAGCAGTGCTTCTTTAGGTTAACCGGGTCGGCTCTCCCAGCCTGGCATTAGCCACGGGGAGCCTGGCATTAGCCACGGGGAGCGGTGTGGCCTGCCACCATTCTCAGCTCCAAGAGGCTGCGCGGCACAGTCTGTTTCCTGTCCTCAGCGGGCAGCTGCACCCCCGGGGGGGGGCACCTGGCCCAGCAGGAGGCACTGCTGCCTGCTCCCTCCACCCCTTGCCAACTTCTTGCTCAGAGACATGGCCCACGTCCTCTCTGTCAGTACCCTCCCCTGACTGTAGAGTGAGGAGACCCCGAATGTGCTGATTCACTCTTTATGGCTCTCATCTGAGACACAACAAGCAAACTCGGCCCTGGAGAACTAACTCTTACCATCCAAACCGAGCAGTTCCAGTGGCAACTGTCATAAATGCACACATGCAGGCTCAGAGGTTAGGCTGTGCAGCTTGAGTTTTCTTTTCTTTCACACACACACACACACACACACACACACACACACACACACACACATATTTCCTTTGAGAGAGGGTCTTGCTTGGTTCACACTGGTCACCAACTTGTGAAGGAAAAATGGTCTTGAACTCCAGATTTCCTGGCTATCTCCCAAATTTTGGAATCATGGCTATAAGCCACCATACCTAGTTTGCACTAATTGTTTTTCTAAAATAGTAAATTAGTAAAATATTTTTTTCACTTGGAGCTTATGTTGCCCAGGCTGGTCTTAAAACTGTGTGCTCAAGGGAGGGATGTGTTCTGAAGGAGCAGCGTCGCCACGGGCTCGGGCATTGACCCTCGGTCTCCAGGTGGTACACTGTCTGGGGAGTTGTGGACTCTCAGCACGTGTGGCCTTGCTGCAGGAAGTACGTCACTGGTGTGAGCTTTGAGGGTGTACAGCCGTGCCCACTTCCAGTGCTCTCGGCCCCTGCTCTGTGTTTGCCTGAAGGCGTGATCACTCAGATCTCCGTCCTGGCTGCCTGCTGCTGTGCCTATCCCAGCAGAACACATTCCTGAAACCACCAGCTGAAATAAACTTTCTTCGTTAAGTTGCCCCTGTCAAGGTGTTAATCACAGCAACAGGAGAGTGAAAGAAGAAGCAGGAGGTGTGGCCCTTCCTACCTCAGGGTCCCGGGCATATGCCACCGTGGTTGGCTCTCCATTCACTTCACAGCAGCATGAAAGCTATGTGCATTAGAAGGGCCGCACGTAATACTCTGACCTGTTTAACGCAGGTTAAATATACCCACCTCACGCACCCTCACTTCCTTATAGTGACGCTCCTAACAAGTAAAGGCCATGCCCAGTACCTTATTGTTCTCTGTTCTCACCCTGCTGTGTGACAGCATGGAGAAGTGTCTCACTCTTGAGCAACAATTGGCAACCGTCCATCAACCTTCCCAGCCCCGAACGCCCATTCATCGTTTTTTTGTTGTTCTGGCAGGTGGGACCGGGAACCTCACACATGCCACACAAGCACTGTGCTAGAGACCCATCCCTGGCCCCGGGACATCAGTGCTAATGCCGAGGAGCAGGCTGGCTCCAGACGTTACCTTAAGAAGCTTGTTGCTCGTCAGGAAGTCGGCAGAAGGCTTGAGAATGGTGGTCATGGATTTGGTCAGCTCCTCGTGCACCGTCTTATATTCGGATGCAACATATGGCTCAGCCTTATAGGCAAACTTTGAAAAAAAGAGAGGCAACCTTTACTCTTCCATGTGAGGGGCAGAAAGCTTTCGAGGCTTCCGAGGACAGAGATGGGAACCGAGGCGCACATTCAAGGGTGGGAGAAGGGCTGAAAGCAAAGGTGGGAAAGGTGACTGCCATGTGACAGAAGAGGCGTCCAGAATGTTGCCAGGGAACCCTTCCAAGACATGACACCCACATGAGTCAGCTCAGAGCCCACCTGGCACACAACTCCATCTGTGAAGGGACCCTCTAGGAATGTGTCACAGACAAGGTAACAGACCCTGGAGAATCTACATTTTCGTTTTCCAAGAACCACAAAGCCACAGTTCACTTGTAAGAGGCTGTGTAACTTTTGAGAATAGTGTCTGTCAGGGCTGATTCAATGCCACATATCAGGAGCCCCTGCTGTTTGTCCTGTGCCACCAAGGCTGTGCCGCACAACCCTGCCATTTGACTGTGGCCATAGTTGACGCACAGTCTCCAAAGCAGCAGGGATGCTGGGCATTTTAGGTGGTTTAAGAAGGAATGCGAAGATTGCTAACATGTAAGAGGTCTACCCAAGATCAATGACAGCAATTCTTGCTTCACTTCCCTGACAGCTGAGTCACATTCGTCTTTTAAAGAGGAAAATTAGGTAAGTGAAGGAGGCTACCTTTTTTCCAGTGCCCCCTGTTCATGAACAAGCCTTGGTACGTGGGAGACTGCATAGGTATTAAATTCCAAATGCACCCCTACAGAAGGAGGCTTGTAGAGAGGTCTTTGGAAGGAAACTTGGAGAGCCACAGCTGAGAATGATCGTAGCAGCTTGACTTAGTTACATGTTGTTTTACATACCTTAACATATGACCTCAAGTGGCTCTCCAATCCTTCCTCATGGCACTGGGCAACCACATGAATTATGACCCTACACACCACAGGAATGAACAAAGCAATGAGTAGTGACATGGAAATGAGAACATTTCATTATCTTCAGAGCAGCAGAACAATGATGGTGCTACTGGCACTTAGCAAACATGCAGACAAGGAATTAGATGTGGTGCCTACGGGTGAGATGAAAAGACATCTCTCCAGTATAATGTTGAGCACATACTAGCATCCCAGATAGGCTCCAAGAGTGGATGGACTAAAGGGAAGAAGAGTATGTATGCAACCATCCTCCATCCACCGACCCATCTATCCATCTGTCCATCCATCATCATCCATCCAACCATTCACCCATCCATCAACCCATCCATCATCTATCCATCCACTCATCCATCATTATCCATCCAACCATTCACCCATCCATCAACCCATCTATCATCTATCCATCCACTCATCCATCATTATCCATCCAACCATTCACCCATCCATCATCTATCCATCCACTCATCCATCATTATCCATCCAACCATTCACCCATCCACCCACCCTTCAATCCATCTACCCATCCATCATCCACCCACCCATCGATCCATCCACCCACTCATCCATCCACTCACCCATCCACCCATCCATCCATCCACTCAACCATCCATCCATCATCCATCTACCCACCCACCCATCCACTCACTCATCCACTCATCCATCCATCCATCCATCCATCCATCCATCCATCCATCATCCATCTACCCATGCCCTGCCTTACCGAGTCACATTGACTGCAACCTCCTCCTGGGTGGCTCTGGTAAGGACTCGGAACAGCTGGTTTAAAATGGTTGGCAGGAAGGCAATCATCACATGGCCTTCCATTGCATGCAGACTCTACAGATAAGGAACGGTGAAACATGTGTTATGTTTTTCAGCAAAACCTATTTTACTTCAGTTATTCATTTTGAAATGGAGTCTTGCTATGTGACCCAGGCTGAACGGGACTTCCTGGCTGCCACTGACCCTCACACCTCAGCCTCCCAAAAGCCTGGGTCAATAGGTACATGTCACCATGTCCACTATGTTATTCAAGATAGCAGCCATCATTTTAAATCTGGATAGAACGCCCTCTGCCGTAAGCGGAAAGCAGAGGCCGCGCAGACGGGCCCTCAAGTTTAGGATCGCTGTGTCAGCAGTGCAGGGGAGTAAAGATGGTTGGCCAGGTGTCCTAAGCCAGGGAGTATACAGTGGAGCAATGGAACTACAAAAGCCTTTTCTAGCAGAGAGTGAGGCAGAAGAGGGGTCAGGAGAGGCTGTAACCAAGAAGAGCGGACAGAGAGGTCGAGTGTGTGTGTGTGTGTGTGTGTGTGTGTGTTTACTTTTTAAATATGCAGATTGCTTTCTCTTGGTTAGACCAAATATAAGTCTCCACCCAGTTTTCCACATCTTCTGTTATCCACTCCATTAAGCGACTGTTTGCAAAGCAGTCTTCTGTGATCACACTGTCCATGCGCCCCTGCCCTCTCACTGCTCCCGGCGGCTCCAGGCCCACAGCTAACCCCTGCACACAGCTGGGCCAGGCTAGGCACGCCACCTCTGTGTGCCCGGGATGCTGTTCCCAGTTATTATCTCCTCCAAGGACTGAGAAGTTCTCTCTGCTCAGGACCGTAGTGACTTGAGTGTGTCCTTCACAAAGCCTGTAACAGAATCCTCAAGAGGTGGGTCTGAGAGGCCATCAGCCGCAGGGCTCAGCCTTCAGTGGAGCACGGGGCCCTGGAGCGGGCTCCTCATAAATGAGGAGCTTGCTGTTCCTCCTCTGCTGCTCCTCCTGTCTCTATGGCCCAGCTCTTGCCTCTCATGTCACTCACAACTGTGCGCATATCCACTTCAGTTCTTTAGCAAACACCCAGCTTCCGGTATTCTGTCATAGCAGCACCAACAGGTGAAGCCACCACAGCATCGGCTGTGCTCAGCCACTAGAAGCTTTCAGCAAGGATCGGTGTCAAGCGAGTGCAAGAGAAACTTTTCCTGGGAGCATGAGGGCAAACATACGGCTTCTGGGTGCTCTCCGCTGTACTATCTAACGTCATGTGACACCAGCACGAGAGAGTCAGGTAGGAACGCCCGCTCAGAAGCTTACGAGGAACAGTAACAACACTCACCACCAAAAGCAAACCCAACTTACTTCGGAAGACATTTAAAGGGGCGGCTGGAAGCCAGCACGTACCTTAAGGTATTTCACTAGTTCACTCCCTGAGGCTTGGGCTCCAGATTCCGTTTTCTGGCAGTACTGGAAAAAATTGTGTAAATGCTGATCCTGGGAGGGGAGAAGAAGTCTGTCAGTACGTGCATCCAGAAACAGGGGAATCTGCCTCAGGCAATAAACACGAAGGGCTTATAAATACCTATCCGTGTGTGTGTGTGTGTGTGTGTGTGTGTGTGTGTGTGCGCGTGTGTGTGTGCGTGTGTGTGTGAAGAGGGAAGAGGGGTGCACACATCAGTGCACGAGAGGCTGGAAGAGGAATCGGGAGTCCTGCTCTGAGGTGGGGCCTCTACTTGAACCAGCAGGAGCTCAGAGTCTTCTTGTTTGGGAGGGTGCCAGCAAGCCCTAGTGCCTTCATGTTTTGGGAAGCCCTAGGAACCGGTGAGCTGGCACATGTGAGAAGCCATGGTCTTCACACGCGTGCTGGGATCTGAACCTGTCTGGCTAACAGAGAAAAACCTTGAAAAATGTCACGGACTTACACATTGCTTGTCATGTGTATTAGCCCACATGAGCCCCGTCTATGTACTTTATAAAGGCCTATCGTGTAAAAATAGACACCAGGATTGTTTTACACAGACAAGTCACCGAGCAATCTCCGGACTGAGGTGGCCGGCACATACCTGAGTGTACACTGTGGAGACCAGATGAGTGGAAACCTTCAACAGCGGCTTGCCTCCTTCCACCCACTTAATTTCTGGACCATAATGCTGAAAAAAAAAGACCCCAATGGATTAGCTATGTGAGCTTGCACACAAGCCTCAACGAGGGCACTGGAGAAGGATGCAGGACAGCAGGAATGCAGCTGTGCCTGCATTTCTACCTGCCCAGTTTCTGCCCCCAGCACCCTGCCCTTCTCCCTGGGCAGCTGTCAGAGACTGCTGCCCATTTCACTAGGAATGAATCCTGCCTCACCAGTGTCATTCTATGGAGACCAGGCAGCCTCTGAGCTCAGAGAGCGACCTGTGCCTCCAGAGGACTGCGGTACAAGGCACCCACCAAGCCTGGCTTCACTAGTATTTCAAGCCCTGAACTCGGGGCTCAGAGACAGCGGACGGAACAAGTGCGTGGGAAGGAGAACCGCTCCCGGGGTGTCTATCAAACTGGAAGAAAATCTAAGAACCGGCATTACTTGAGCATAGCTGCACCTCAGGGAGCCCTGTGCAAAGCCGCCACCGGCATGTCTCTGCCGTGGTCCTGCCATGGCTCAGAGGCTTAGAAATGCCTCAACTAGAATTCTGACACTGTCTTAGAGTTAGCTGAAGCAGCTTCTAATTACACACATTTACCTCAAGAGGAATAAAGAAAAACAAACTGTCTGGACGGAAGAACCCTGTGTACTGTCTTTGTCGTGTGCTATTGCTGTTTTTAGGCATCTTTCACATTTCTGAAGAAACCGGGTTAAAGCAAACCATTCTTAAAGTCCTGTACCCTGCCCATGCCGAGCTCCTGGAAGCCAAGGTAGCCAGCCGGAAGGTTAGCTGAGACCGGGGTATGCTGCTCGTTCGTCACCACCCTGCCATCTCTCAGGAGGGGAAGCCAGGAGAAGCCAACTGTGGAGAGCCAAGAACAGAAGCCCACCATGAGGAACCTGACTCCCGAGGGAAGACTGCACCACTGGACAGCGGGAGCCATCCATCAAAGCACAAGGCCGGAAGGCCTGGGGAGGCGCTACTGTGAGCCTCTGGGTCAGACTGCAAGTAGTTACACACGCAATTCAGCCATGCTCCCACACCACTTGCTAGAGACACACCAAGCAACCCTTTGAAAAGGACGAATATTAAGAGCCAAAATACAACTGGAAAACTAATATACAGATGATAAAACACCACCAATAAAACAGCGGAGAGGCAGGGAGAGGCACCACCTTGCGTTTCAACAGCGTCCTTCTTTTTTGTGCTTCCCTTGGCTGAGTTGTCGCAGCTGACGTGGAAGAAGGTGAACAGCAAGTGGTGCTTCTCATGCAGCTGGGTGGGCAGTTCTATCTTGATCTGCAAAGGCAAGAGCAACCTTTCCAGCAGCCCACAGGAGCAAGCGTTCCCCGGAGCAGGTATACCCCTCGCCCGGCCCACACACACGCACGCCTGCTCTCCAGACCCCTCCTGGGATTAAACGTGGACACTCCTGAGCTGCTGACACCCAAGAGAGGTGGATTCCGAACCCACCGATCAGAACGGGGAGAAGGTTGATGCTGGTTTCAGGCACAAGCAAATTGGAAAACAGACAGCACAACAGAAACGCAGCGCAGCTGGGCTCGTGCACGTGAAAGCCCGGGGCTGCTCCCTGGCTACAGTGCGATTAGACTCTGGGGTGTTCAACTACACAGGTCTCACACATGGGGACTGTTTCACTTTGGTTTGGGCTCCATGAATCAAGTCTACCACCTCACGTATGCTAAGCACACCATCTTCCCCGTGCTCCATCACGCTCTTGTGCAGAATCTGGGTGCCCAGGAGACCTGACACCGTTTAAAAACGTTCATACACAAACCACATTACACCCAAGGTCAAAGAAAAAGGTGTTCACGAGTACATAAAAGACACGTAGGTAAAGGTGATATTTGGGGGCAATCTATTTGTGTGATGTGTGGTAGGTGTGATAGTGTATGCACACGTGAGCAACGTGCACACTCAAAGTGCAAGAAAGCAAGAGGCTGCAAGGTGCTTCAGTACTTTCCCCGCTCCCCTGGGACCTGGCGCCCCTTGAGCCTGGAGGCGGGACGGCCGTCACCAGGCCCTAGGGTCCTCTGGCCTCGGCCTGCCCTGGCTCTGGGGTTACACGGCAACCCTCTAGACGTGCTGAGATCTGAACTTGGGTCCTTGTGCTTCTACAGCAGCCGCTTCACCAACTAAGCCATCTCTCCAGGGCCCGATCTGCTACCATAAAATCTGCATAGACTGGTCACTGAGATAAGACTTACCAAGTGGTACACATATAAACAGATGGCACCCTTCAAGGTCAAATGGAGTGTGAAGCTACCTGCTAACTCAGCATGGCGCTAGCAGAGAGCACCCTGCAACTGAAAAGCCACCTGCTGTGGCTACTGCAGTGAGCTCAGCTCTGCAGGAACCTGTCCAAGGGGCGAGCAGCTCCCCTCTGCAGCAAACCAAACGTGCCAATAGGAGGTGACCGCTCTTGGTTCCCACTTTTCTTCATTCTAAATGAAGAATTTAGATCCTACAGAATGTGTTACTGCTAAGGTCAAATCAGGGAACTAAGCAGGTAAGTTCTGTGAAATCACAAGTCACGTGCGAGTTTTAGCCCAGAACAGAGCACGGCTCCCCGGGCCTCTCCAGCAGTCCAAGTGCAAAGCACTCTGCAGGAGGAGCCACCCACACAGGACAGCTTTAGGGTCAGTAGTGACAAGTGTCCCAGGGTCCCAGGAGGCCTGTGAATGCCTTCCTGGGACACTATGTGCTGAAGGCATAGCTAAGAACTCTTTTATCTGTGCTTTCATAGAGTCACTTAATCAGAGAATATGGAAACACCCACTCCCCCACTTCGACCTCGGCATGGATGAGCCTTTCCTGCCCTGAGCTGTCAGGCAGACACGTCCTTCCCCTGAGCCTGTTCGGGCCCTGCGTTACCTCGTCGTAGAACTCCGGGTTCTGCTGATGGTGCAGCACGGCCGCCAGGGCGCTCGTTGTGAAGGCCGGGCCGCCAGGCCTGCCGTAAATGCACTGGAGGAGCAGAGCACTGGTTGGGGGACGGGTGGGGCTGCCTCCCTCATGGGCCGCTTCTCACCGCACGCAGCCGCAGAGCCCCGGCGTGCAACCCCTCCCGGCCTGCGGCCACCCCTGCCCCTCAGACACCTCGCTCACGCCTCCCCACGTGTCCCCCACCCCTGCTTACACAGCCCTCTGTGCAAATGCCCCTCGCTCTCGACTTCTTCAAGAAGCGGTCAGCCCACTCCCGTCCTCTCAGCATTTTCCACATCTACATTTGTCCGAGTCAAACACGCCGGCAGTGCCTTCCACTTCAGGCTACACTCTCCACGCCAATGCCTGTCGCTGAACTCGGAGTCCCCTTTCGCCTCTTGCTCACTCTCTCCCTTCTCTCTCCTAGTGGCAGGGGCTCACCCCGCACACCCTGGCCTGGGACACCTGCCCACAAGTCCTCCCGCCTGCACTGTGCAGGGCGGCTACAAGGTGAGCCACCCTGCCTGTCTCGTGAGGGTTGGGAACACAACCCAGACCTGAGTGTGCGAGCAGCCACTCCACCGTCCTCAACAAGAGCTCTATGTAGTATTTCTTTACACACACACACACACACACACACACACACACACACACACACTCACACTCACACACTCTCTCTCACAGACCTTCAGGGGTTGAGAGTCTTCTTCATCGGAATCTTTGAACTCAATGCAGATAGCAATATTTCTGGCCTGCAGAGGTATCAAGGGGACATGTAAGAGGTGATGGTGAGGGCACAAGGCCCAGCACACACACATTTATGAAAGGGTAGGCAAGTAAAGGACACTCCCGTGACTGTGCGCTCGCCTTGGCAAAAGACTTCTGACTGTCGTACTTCAAGAACTTCGGGTAAACATAGAGGTGGTTGCTGTAGACAGTGGAAGGCTGGGTGTGTCTGGGTATGCAGGGCACAAACTCCTCCACTTCAAAAGTGATCGGAGATTTACTGCAGGTTTCGAACTGCCTCATGGGAATGTATGATGAATTCAGGTAATCTGAAAGGAAATTTCAAATTACACAGCAGAGGAAAAGCCAACTAAACAAAAATGCCTGTTACATAGAACTGACCACTTACTGGGGAAGTCAGAGGAAACGTTATCAATGATAATGTCTAGGTTGCCCAAGATCACTGGGAGTTTGGCCATCTTCTCGGGTCTACAAACAAGAGAGAAAATCAGATGTTAGGAGGGAGGCTGACATGGCATTCTCACGTGGCAGGAAGAGAGCGTGACAATTCATGTATAATAACACCAGCTGCAAAACCCACACTTCCACCGAACAGGTAAAACGATGGCATTTCAATTAGCTCCAAATTTACATAAAACTCTCATTTCGGCACGTCATCAATGCGGTAATGTGGTGTGTCTTCAAAGCCAGGCCAGCTTTTACAGTGAACTCATATTCTGTGTGAAATGCTCCACCCCAATGTGTCCTCACTGCAGAGGTCAGGATACAGACACCACTGAAGAGTCTCAGTGCCCTCGTGCCGTGCCCGGGCCTCCCCCGGAGCTGCCTGGCCTGGCTGGAGTCAGCACATTCAGAACCAGAGCCGTCTTGTGTGGGCATAGAGCGAGTGATCCATGAAACCTGCCTGTCATTCCATCTAATGAAGAATGTCCCCACTGCTCCTGGCAGGAGCTGCTACTGTTGTTGACACAGCGATCGTGAGCACAGCCCCTCCTCCTCACAAACGGGACCAAACTCCCTTCTTCATGCATCTGTTCCCCAAGGGTCCGCCACCTGCAGCTACCACACAGGGGAGGGGTGTGCTTGAGAACGCAGGTGCCCTTGGAGGCTAAAGGCATCGGATCGCCTGGAACTGGAGCTGCAGGTGGCTGTGAGCTGCCTGACAGAGGTGCTGGGAGTCAAACATAGAACCCTGGGAGAATAACACACAGTTCACGCTTTGGGACCTCAGAATAGGACTTATTTTTGCTCTGATAAAATTTCATCTTTTTACATCTGAGCCATTTATAGCTGCCCCAAATCCTCCTGAATCCAGGTTGCTTCAAACGTCTTTGACCTTCCTAAGAGGTACGCATTCACGCCGTCACTGAACACAACGCCACACCATACAGAATGTGAACAGGCTCTCACTGTCTCCATTCCCAGCGCACACCTCCCTCACCCTTCCTGGACACTCCAACAGTGCAACAGCTGCCCACGCACGTGCAGCAGGCACCCCGATTCCCGCATGGGGAGTCATGTGTCACCACGGCAAAGGCATTCTGCCCAGGGCTTTGCACTCGTCTGTGGCACCAGCTTAGATTTAAAGTGATGTGGCAAGGTGAGGAGGTCACGACACGGCCGCTCCTGGAAAGGAGGACGCTGCCACAGGGCTCTTCACATCGCCTGTTTAATCCCTTCTTCCCCAGCTGCGAAGGCCCAGGAAGCTCAGGGACATATGTGCTGGTCAGCTCTGCCAACCTGACACAGCCAGGGCTACCCGGGAAGACGAGCACGCCTCCATCAGGGCGGCCTGTTGGCAAGCCTGTGAGGCGTTTTCTTCACTACCATAGAGGTTGCAGTGCACAGCACCCTGCTGGGGACACCCGCAGGCTGCGGTCCTGGTAAGCGAGGAAGCTAAGCAAGCCATGGAAACAGGCTGGAAGCAGAAATCATCATGCCTCTGCTGCGGTGCCTGCTTTGGCTCCCCAGTGGACTGTGACACACAAGTGTGAGCCAGACAAACCCTCTCCTCCCCAGGTGTTCGGTCTTCTTGCCGCCAGAGAGGAGCGATTCCAGGCGGCGGCAGATCAGGTCTGGTCGTGTTCCAGCTGCAGCGCTGTGGCTTCCTCTGGCACTGCTACTACTAGGTGAGCACAGAGACCCTTCAGCCTGTTCTTCCTGCACCATGATCACTGACTACGCGCACACATCCATCGTGGCACGGTGCGTGCCCAGTGTAAGTTGCACAATCACTGTCGGGGACTCGAGTTTGTGCTTTCCCCCAGTTTATACTTGACCTAACCAGCGACTCACTGACACCCCAGCGATGAACTCCACACACTTAGCTTTCCGTGACAAGAGTTCTGACCAGAACCGCTCCAGCTCCGCTCAAACTCACCCTGTTCTGTGAGGGAGGCTTCGAGTGCCCAGCAACGGGTCTGCCACGCTCCCCTCATCCTCACCCCTGTGCACTCCCCTAGTGACACCCCACAAACAGACTTCAGCGGAAATCAACACTCTGGCGTTGAATTTTGTGCAAATATAAGTCATCTGGGCACACGGGGCCTTTCCCTACCTCTTCATGTGAACAACCTGGCGCTCCACACCCCGTACCCTGAGTAACCTCCGAAAGCTGTGGAGCTCGGTTCATTTTCTTCGGTGACTCAGAAATTGTTGTTACAAATACTACATGCCCAAGAGTAGGAAGCTTCACCGTCCAGGGACAAATGGCCTCCTCCCACAGATCTCGTCAGGGGCCGGTTCCAAGTGAGTGAATGTCAGTTCCAGTACCTTCACTGGAAACTGCCCTACCCTGTGTCATTCCTTCTGGCCTGACTGTACGTGAAAATCACTTCTGAGAAACACCGTGTGAAGCCAGGAAGATGGCCACAGGGACAGAGGCAACCTGGAGCCATGCGGTTGCAAGTGAGCAGAGGCCCTGGGAGCTGGAGGAGACGGAGAGCGGCACTCCCTGCACTTGAGGCTGCGTGCTCACAGCAGCACTCCTTTCGCTTTCTTCCGGGGCACCTCCCCGTGTTCTAAAGAGACCTGGTTTTTGCAGCAGTCACAGGAGCCTCAGGAAATGATACGTCCATTAATGTGAGCAAAGCACTTCTAACAGTGACCAGCAAAGCAAGAGTATGTAAATCACCACCTTTCCCCACATTTGCTCAGTGGTTCCAGGAGAGGTGACCAGTCTGCGAGTCAGAATCCTGGCAGCTGTGTAGCTGGGCCTCTGCCCTCCTCGGCCTGACACCCAGCAGGAAGCCACAGCCTGGGGACTGTGACCTGAGCTGAAGTAGTGTGTTTCTGATCATCTCAGGGGCTGTGCCGTGACCCTTCCTGACACGGCTCTTTCAGGCTGTCTCCCACCTGCCTGAGCTTACCCTCCTCATGTCACCAAAACAAGGAGTAAAGTTAATCAGACCGTTTATTCCTTCTCCTAGACTTGCCGAAATGCCCTGCCACTTCCGCTCCCACCTGCCCCTCAGGAGCTCCGAGTGATGGAATTTCTGTGACTGTCCTTGCTGTCCCCTCCCCACCACAAAAAGTCTCAGGTATGGAAAAGGGCCACACCCTAAAACTCACTTCCGGAAGTCCGCCAACAGCTTGATCAAGTCATCATTGGAGAGCTTATTGCTGTCCTGCCGGTAGATAGCCGAGAATCTGGCATTTTTGTCCAGGTTTCCAGACGTGTCCTTAAATAGTGTCCTGGAACGGTGAAAAAAACATTTCAAGACTCGCTTTTCAAAGAGCAAACTATCGAGAATTCTGCACTCTGCACACAGGCTAATTACGACTCTGCCGGCTGTGGCCAACAAAATCTCATTATCCCCATGTGCAGGGAGCAGTAATGGGAACCACCACCACCTCAATTTACACAGAAAACAGTTCCAGTGAAAGCTCGGACCGAGGAAACGACATGCCCTCCACAGGGCAGGCAGAAAAGGGCATGGGGAGGCCTCAGCGGGACGCCGGGCCTGGGCCCTCTGACAACCTCCGGCCCTGCAGCAGGAAGGCCGCTGTTCTCGCTCGGCCAGCACCTATCCTCCCCTGCTAGCCTGCTTCCAGACGGGGAGTCTTTGCTCTCGGCCTCACCAATCTGAATGTCTGACTCAGGGCAACAAAGCTGACAGGAAGCCTGCCCGCCTGTTGGTCTATCTGTCCATCGGTCCCTCTCAGCTCCAGTCTCCCTTACCTTGCTGCCCAAGCAAACGGCATTCGGTACTGGCCTAGCCTTTGGCACGCCTGCTTGGCATTCTTCAGCACCTTTTGAGCAACCTGGAACACACCAGAACAGAGCCATGGGAGGGCTGAAGCTGAAGAGTTTAAGTTAGCCTGGGTATAACTCCATTTTTGAAATAAAGAGCCATCTTGACTGGGAACTGAATTCAGGTACCAGGACATATCACAAAATGTGCAACTGTCAGAGAACAAAGTTAACTCTCCTAGCAACAGCCTCTAGGAAATATCACAGAATAAATACTTCATAGAAAATAGAGACAAACTCCCTGGCAATAATCAATGAGAATCGACTGGGAAATGGGTGGTAAAATCCTTCCCAATGTTTCAGATACAGTTTAGAAGAATAGCCATTGTGATCACATGTCTTAGGCAATTGTGCCTCAGAGAAGCATATGCCATACACAACTGTGCCTCAGAGAAGGTCATCTCGCCCCTCTAACTTTTACCTATTCCTGTAACATCAAGGCATGTGTCCCCCTGTTTGCTTTCATGGAAACATGTGCCCCCCTGTTTGCTGTCGTGGAAATCCCCTGCTCACAGACTTTCCCTTTAAAAACCCTGCTCACTCAGAGCTCAGGGTCCCACTTCTTTACTGCTGCGTCAGTGAGACTTGGGTCCCGAGTTCAATTGCTCTCGTAATAAAGCTCTCTTGCTATTGCTTCGAGTCATCTCCTGGTGGTCTCTGAGGGTCCCGTGAACCTGGCATTACAAAGCCAGAGCAACTACCATCACATGATTACTAAGCACGCTCTCACCAGAGCCCTGACACATGGAGAGGTGTTTCTGACACCAGTGGGAGGTTCCAACTTCTCCATTTTCTGTAGCCCCTGGCAGCGGCCCTCAAAACTACATCGCATTTCCCAGGATCCTCTCCAGGCAGCAGCAGCCTTTCTAGCCAGCACCTCTCCTGTCAGACTTCAGCGCTTTCTGACTGAGGGCTAACTGTAAGCCACTGTGATGCTAATATCCAGTCTCCATGCCCAAACAGCTGATGAGCATTCTAAGCTGTCCCAGCTTTCCAGATTCCCACTATCTGGGAGACCCGTACTGCTAAAACGGGATTAGGTACTGGCCATGTCAGCGGCCTTCAACTGCTCAGGCCTCCTGCATGCACATGTCCTCATCAGCAATCCTGGCTTGTTCTGGGCTGATAGGACACAGCATACACACTGGCTTTGGCCAATGACTTGCATCTCTTGCCAACCACTGTCCCCACTTTCATGCCCTGTGACAGCGGTCTGTTTGCAGGTGTGAACACTTGCATAGTCAAGGTGGGACCCAAAGGCCCTGGGTGTGTGGGAAGTGGTTGTTATGTTGCTTGAATGTGCCCCCATCAGGGCTTTCAGGAGACCTGCTGACAACTGAGCGCAGTCCTCCCGGCTGCGGAGTCGGGATGCTGTCAGACAAGCCTCAGCGTCTACGGGTTCTGGCCGGTCCAGCTGGCTGCGAGTCTGTCTGTGCTTGAGGGCTGGGGGGCCACAGCGTGGCCATCTGTGTGGGCACGGGGGCAGAGCTCTAGTCCCACGGCACGAAAGGCTTCCTACCTTAGAGGAGTCTGAGCTTTTCATATACGGCTCAGCGCAGTGAGCAATGCTTCCCTGGAGAACCTTCTCGATTCTGGCCACGAGAAATATATCTGGATGAGGACACGTGACTGAAAATATCCCCTAGGAGACAAACAGCACAATTCCAAGATGAACACAAAAAATCCCTTGACCACCGGGGCAGCGAAGGGTAGTGAGACAGGCCAGCCAGCGAGGAGACGGCGCCAAGCGCCCCAGCGCCCAGCCTCGCGCTGCTCAGCGCCCACTTGGTGGAGGCGACGGGGAGAGCCGCCAGGGACTGAGGGCCCGCCGTTGTCCCTCTGTCTGCTCTCCCTGCAGGACTGCACACCCTGCCCGCCCACTGGCGCACTCAGGGCTCAGGGAGCACTTCCTAGCCCACTACCCGGCATGCGCAGGGCCGCCGGGCGTGAACACTGCCCACCTGTCTCGGGTACTGCATGGCCGTGAGCAGGGCACCCGGGAAGGCAGGCGGGCTCTGGCCACCGTTCGGCAGGGCTGTGGACACAGGAGCCAGCATCTGCCGCACTGACAGGTGGTTCAGGTCCACGTGGAAGTCGGCAGAGATCTTCCGGTTGTATTTGATGTCAAACAGGGACAGGGTGACAAAGAAAGGCTCGACCTGAACAAAAACGTTAAAAAATGCCGTGAGCACAGAGAGCTCAGGAGAGAAGCCCTGCATAAGAGCGAAGAGCCTGCACGTGCACAACTGTCTCTTCCAGTGAACTAGACAGGAAATGTCTGCTCCTGTCATGCAGCCCTTCAGAAAACAAACACTCACTATCCTGTCAAGAGCTTTGCTCTTAAATGCTCCACAGACAACACAGCTAATCGCCTCGGACAGCTAAGATGAAACCCATGTCCCAGAACAAGCAGCTTAAACCTGCCATCCTATCCTTGGCCCTACCACCCCTGACCCCACCATACCCCACTGTAAGGCCTGTACCTGTCTGTGAGGCTCCACACCCCAGCTGCAGTGTAGGGAGAAACCTATGACCCCTGAAATTACTCCACATTAAAAATACATCCAGCTGAACCTCACGAAGGCTCCTGCAGACTGTGCTGGAAGGTGGAGTTTTCGGAAAGAGAGCTACGGTGATACTAAAGAGCAGACGCTCCTCCTCCCTCAGCCTGGCTTCTGGTCTCCCTCGGCTGCTCCCTTGGCCAGGTGACTGACACATGACACACCCGCCTCCAGGCGAGGGTACACTCTCGACCAGGAGGGCTTTCTTGCACCTCCGACACTGCTCTAAAGAAGGGGGTGTGGGCCAGAGGAGACTCTGGTCCCTGATATGTTAGGTTGACTTTTTAAAACCTGCACTTTTCAGAAGGAAAATTACATTTGTCGTGGGTCCCTCCTCGTTCTCAGCGACGCAGCATTGCAGATTGAAAGACAAATCATTGCACTTGACAAGAATCCTTTTCCCAAACTTTTCTTCAAACGGCTTCACCTCTGGCTCGGCAGACGAGAAGTCGAGTCTCTGTAAGAAGAAAGCGTGGATATGTAAACTCATCATGCTCCCTTTAAAAAATCCCCCGTGAATGCTCCCGCATAAAGCTGCCTGAAGCACGGAAAAGCTGTGTGCGTCATCCACAAGAGTGCTGCGACCGTGTGGGGTCACTGCAGATTAACAGACACAGGCTGTCTCATGACATAGGTGACGACACAGCTGCCGGATGGGTGATACACGGGATTAACATCACTGTTAAAAACAACCTGTGCACCCACTGACGCACATGTAAGACACATAAAAGGCATTACATATGCACACACACACGTGCACACACACAGACATGTACATACAATAATCACAAGGAAATTGGGGCTGGGCATGGAGGCACACGCTTGTGAGCCCAGCACTCAGGAGGCAGAGGTAGGCAGAGCGCTGTGAGGTTGAGGCCAGCCTGGCCTACAGAGTGAGTTCCAGGGCAGCCAGGGCTACTGCATGACATGTGGTATTTGGAAGCAAAAGGAAAGGAAAGGAAAGAAAAGGTAATTGTGGACAGTGACTGAAATGGCTCAGCAGCTGAGTGTGTGCTGCGCTAGCCTGGAGACCTGAGTGTGAGCCTAGAGTTCTTGGTGGAGGGAGAGAAGCAACTCCTATCATCATCCTCTGACCTCCACATGAAGCTGAGGTCTCACAGCGCCCACCACGGAATAGTCAATCACCACTCATTCATCAATCAACAAGGACAGCCATGAAAGGACAGCCATGGATGAACCTTGGAAACTCGTTAAGTAAGTGAACACACAAAAGACAATTCTGTATGATTCCACACAGCGAGCTTGCTAAAATAGTTAACTCACAAGGACTAAAGCCGGAGCAGTGGTCACTCGGGGCGTGGGCACAATTATGGGGACTGTTACCAGTTTAGGAGGATGAAAACATTCAGGATTTTAGAAACAGACGGTGCTGTGTTTGCACAGAGAATATATTGAATACCACTGAATTAGTTTATTTTTAGTTTTTTTAATTTGAATTATATTTTCAAATGGCTAAAACTATAAGGTTCGTGCTATATGCAAGTTAGCACAGTGAGAAAACAGGAAGTCAGTGAGGAAACATAGAAATGGTTATTATTAACTCTAACAGGGAGGGGCTGTTCCATGGAAAGAGCCACAGAGAGGAGAAGGCAGTTAGGATGAAGCAGAGCAGAACCCTGCCCCTTCTTGGTAACCCTGAGCTACCCTCACTGTCATGGGCCCTGGTGATGTTTGTCACATACGTTTGCACTTTGCTGGGACACAGATGTGGATATCAGGGAACACGGCTGAGACATGCTGCTGCATCTGGGTGACGAGAGTCACTCGGGCCATGGTCTAATCGTTAAGCTGCACCTTGTACAACGATCAGCGTGGACCTAAAGATGCAGGCTTCTGCCTTTCGGGAAGCTGACTAAACCTAGCTCTCAGCATTCAACAGCACACTGAAGAGCAAACCTTCCTGAATTTACAGTCTGAACATTAGCTCTCACCTGGGCATCTGGGTCCAGGTAAAACAGCTTCACTCTGCTTTCACTTTTCAGCTTGATTTCTGCTTCTCTGGTGCTCTGTGGACAAAACACACAAAGTCTACAGTTAAAGAAATCCTCTGCTCCCCACCCCAGAGGTATCTGAGTGTCTGAAAGCTGCCTGTGGCGGTCTGGGTGAGAATGGCCCCGCATGGCTCAAGTATTTGAATGCTCAGCCTCAGTAGCTGGAGCCAGGGAGGGAGGTGCTACAGCAGCTGTGTGACGTGCGCTGGGTTTTGGAATCCCGAAAGCCCACACCATTGCATGCTGGCTTCCTCCCCCTGTCTGCGGCTGTGTACTCCGGTGGCTTTCAGCTCTCAGCTAGTACTCCGGCACCAGGCCCGCCTGCCACTGCCTTGCTCCCAGCCACAGCGCTGGGCCCTTAGCCTCTGAAACTGTAAGCAAGCCCCGAAAGAACTTTCTTCTATAATTTGTCTTGATCACAGTATCTCTTTGCATCAGACCTGAACTCTGGCTGGTCTCTGGGAGGCAGGGGCCAACCAAGAGGTATGCCCTGTGGCATGGGCAGCTCGGCTGAGGTGCTGTGAAGAGACAGCACAGTCCCCGATTCCCTGGGGAGGCTGAAGTGTCTCAGCAGATGGCCGTGGATGTGAGTTACGCAGAATGCCAGCATGCAGGCTAGGATGGAAGGCTTGGGAGTGGAAATGATTCCTCAGAGCACAGGAAGCCTCAAACCCACAGGGACAGGCAGAAGAGGCACAGAGGGACACAGACATGCTGAGGCTGGAGACGCAAGATCCGGAGGGCAAATGCAGAGGCTTCCAGCTGGTCTGGAAGAGTCAAGCCGCCTCAGCCTCTCTATGTGTCATGTCTGTGTGTGCTCTTTTTAGGAGTCGCACTCTGCATTTCCACAGATAACGGGGGCTCTGACTATAACGTCCTCTTCTCCTTTGGTACTCTCCCCAAGACAGAAGCCACCTTTCTGCCCTAGACAATGGGACAGTGACAGCCACAGCGGAGAAGGCAGCCGTCTCTGCTGTTGAGAGCCAAGTGATGTCTATTACTGTATTTCTAACTTGAGCCAATGAGGTACTAAGAACTCACTAACTTTTCGGTCATTACGTTGTTACACTGGGTCCTTGGCTACACCACAAACACCCATGACCGTATTTAACCATTGTAAATGCAACGACGCTCATGACCAGCTCCGCCTCCTTGCCTAGCCTTTTAGCTTCTGAGTGAAAAGAACGCACAAGACGATGTGGAAGGCTCCTGCCCAGCAACGGTCACCGTGGTGGCATTACTGAGTGACATCTTGGTGACCGGGGACAGTCTTCACAGCTGCTGTTCACGCTTCCCACCAGACTTGGTCCCTGTGGTAGAGGCAGGCTCTCTCTGCATAGAGCACGTGGGCGTGTCACCTCCCTTCCCTGTGTAGCCCTTTACCTTCCTTTCACACACACAAACACTAGAACACACACAAGTGGAATCTACTTAACTGAGCCCAAAGAACACGTGACAGCTCGGGAGCGCCCCTGGGAACCACCAGGGCAAGGAGCTGTATACTAACTCAGAAGTAGATATTCTCCTTAGTGTCCATTTAGCTTTTCACAATCTAGGGCTGTAGTAACAGTGCACATCCGGAGCCTGTGTGTTGCCTCCATTTTAATCCCTAGCACCACAGTATAAATAGATACACACACACACACACACACACACACCCCTTCAAAAGCTGCTACTTTTATTATCCATGCTCAACAAAGACAAGCTGCTAAGGAAAGGGCCTAAGTACTTTTTCCAAAGTCTCAACATAAAAAGAAGCTTATATTATAATGTGTGTCACCTAGTTTAAAAGCCCAAATCCTTAAGGACAAAAAGGGAGGATATATATCTATATCTATATCTATATCTATCTATCTATCTATCTATCTATCTATCTATCTATCTATCTATCTATCTATCTAT